AGAACAATAACAAGAATAACAACAACAACAACAACAACAACAACAACAACAACAACAACAACAACAACAGCAACAGCAACAGCAACAGCAACAGCAACAGCAACAGCAACAGCAACAGCAGCAGCAACAACTGTGGCACTTGCAAAAGCAACTGTGTTAATATAGGGCTTTGTATGCATTACGGTGGCATTTTTATAGAGTCCTCATTCTGATTCAAACACGGCATTCACGACGGTTTCGGATATACCATCCTATGATGACTTACAGCCTCGTGGCAAAGTGTGGCGAATTGTTGAAGCACCTTTGCTGACTTTCATGCACGCGGACAATGCTTGATTGCTGCAAGTCTCGAGATTAGCAGTAGCAATGCGAGTAAGAGAACCTTTCTGAGGTCACTCATGAGGAAGAAAATGGCAATAGCAACAATGGAACTAATTGCGGCTTCGGTGATGATGACTCTTGTCATCGTTTTCAAACCATGTCGTCAGGCTAAAACCGTCGTTGCAAATGTCTTGGGGCAACGACCTAATTACCAATATCTTCACGGGCATTGTCCCTACCGCTTGTGATGCTGGCTCCTGCTACAGCGGAACATGACGACGACCTTTGAGGTACCAGCTGGCGCCCTAAAGCCTGAACACAAATCCGAAACCTCAAACCCTGGATTCCGAAACTCCAATTTCCTTTCTCCTTAACCTGAACATGAAGCTGAGGCAGGTACAGCTCGACGAAAAGGACAGTGAACCTGAAGAGCTTTTGGATTTCAGGAGAAAAGACCCGGCACGAAACACAAAAAGCAGGGAACCATTAAGCACACAAGGAAGAAAGTTTCCACTAGTGCGAATACCTGCAAGGCTGTTTAGAGGCCTCCCCGACACCTTAAACAGGATCTGAGAAGCAGGAGCCTTGGAAGGCATCCTCCCGTTGTCTAGGACATTTTCAGGTGGNNGGCTTCTATAAGGTATAGAGACCTTCTATAAGGCTCCTAAAAGGGTAACTACCCACCTGAAAATGTCCTAGACGTTGTGGGTCCAGGTAAGGAGTTGGGTTTAGGGTTTAATTGTGGGCCCAGGTAAGGCCTGATTCAAATGTTTTAAGTCTTTAGATGATCCCTCAGTTCCCCGGGCTTCTAGAGCTCAAAATAAGAAATGGAGGTCACTAAATCTTGCGGTTCGGGCGCATCGAGAAGGCCCCAAACCCCCGACCCGTCATGAACTTTGAAGTCGCATCAGGGATTTAGGGGCCTCGGTGATTAGAATAAGGTTTGGGGGTATATTACACTATAATTATAATACGGAGCACCCAAACCCTTCTAGTTATTGAGGCCCCTATATTACTCACTGCGTCCATCAGCCATGACGATTAGCTCACTGTTGTTCACTCCTCTTGCTTGCAGTGTAACTATTCTTCTGGTCAAACTTCTAGCTATCAACAGCTGCAGTAGAGAAATGCTAGAAGTAGGGGCAACAGGAACTGTCGTAAACAGTCGCAGCAGCAAGAACGATACTATTAAACAGCTACCATATCAGGAGCGAAAGCCATTCCAACCCCCAAACAGTGCTGTCTACCCCGAAACCCTACACCATGAAACTCTAAACACTAAACCGCGAACCCTGGGCCAATGCCTGCAGCCCAAACCTTATCGTTTTTTGTCGCGACTCTCTAACTCACTGCACACAAAACAACGACATCACTGCTCCGATGGAACTACGACAAGCGACGCTGTCACCAATAGCAGCTTGAAGGGGACGAAATTGGCAAGCTCCATCCACGACCAGTCCCGCTTCAACTTCTCTTCGTACTCCTAGCCACAAGAATGGGTCGAAATGACTGCATTGCGATATTAAAACAACATCAGCAAGAAGACTCATAGCAGACAGACTCGTCGTTGTCATACTGTTGATGGACAGAACTGCAACGTACGGAAGAAGGTGTATAACCTAAGCCCCACAGTTCAGGGCACCTAAGTGGCTAAGATAATGCAGAATTTCGTCCATCAGCAGTGGCTACCATGTTGCACTTGTGCAGGTTTGAGACCGTGGAACACAGAGGGTACAACTACTGAAATCACTCAGGCCTGAACAGCTCAAAAGAACAGTTACAGGTTTCGATCCGTTTGTGGAACGGGTGTGGAGCTTATTGTGATCTGTGCCTTGTTACATAGTCACGCTCGAGGTTGAGGATCTTGTGTTGCTACAACACTCACAGTGGTAAGATTAAGGCAGGTTTCTGAACCCCAGGGGGCGTCAGATCTTTTACTTAGGGTTGCTATTCTGATTGACAGCCCAATTCCCAAGGCACCTAAACCCTAAACCCTAAACCCTAAACCCTAAACCCAATTCCCAAGGCAGTTTCCAAGTCGGAGGTCCGCTGTGTGTCAGCCCTGCTGTATCTTGTATGCAGAAGAATGGAGAGCTGGCTGTACAGGTTGAAGGGCATGGGGTTTAGGGTTTGATCACCTACGGCATCCTGGAGTGGGCGAAGAGTGTTTAGGTTTTGGAGGAATTTGTTTGTGGATAAGGGGCTGAGGGGACGTCTCAGAGGCAGGAAGGCCGAAACGTCAGTCCTCCAGCAGCTCACTGTCCTTCATCTGTTCAACAGTGTTGGCCTGCATGGGGGGGGGGGGTTGGGATTTAGGTTGGCGGGATCCCCAGCGGAAACGCCTTGCCTTGGTCCTGGCATCGTCCGCCATGGTTTTAACAGAGCATTAAACCCTGCCGCCTAATGTGGCCAGCACAAACTACCGTCTTCTTCACGATCCTCAGCAGATCCGTAGCCAGAACACTAGTTGCTTCGTAACGACCATGGCAAACGACAAAGCCATCCGGGCTACGCCTCCTCGTAGCCTTGCAGCTCGTAGTCCTCGAGCATGTCCTCGGGTTCTTGACTTCTGAGCCCATGTCGAAGCAAAATGGGTACCAGCACTCGATACGGCTGAGCACCAAGGGCGCAACTACGACTGCGAACAACAAAAGGTACTGTTTCAGTCCACCTAGCGACCTGACTATGCCTGGGCCGCTCGGCGACTCAGATACGCCTAAAATGCAAACCTGCCAAGTCCATGACTGCTCTCGATAATATACGCGTTTCCGAAAACTTGGGAACCTTGTTCAAAACCCCGAATATGATCCTTGTTCTGCAGAGCTCTGCAAAGGAGCCAAGGCTTTGAGGCACCCGCATTTGAGCAAGGACTCCGTGTAATCACAAGGAGGAAATTAAGGAATCTGAAAATTGAACGCCTCGGAGCCTGTGTGCAAACAAACTGGCCTGAGGTTGTTGCTTCAACTACATCCCTTGAAGATACTGCATCGCACAAGAGCGAAGATGAGTCTGACAAGGCTGCCCACCAAACAGCAGCACGCCCCAAGTACACAAGAGGCACTACCACTCTCTACTACAACGCAGGTCGGTTGCCATCGCGCTGTGAAGTTGCCCGCCAAGCGGCGACAATGGCCCTGTTGGTCTCAGGCCTGACAGCTCTCTATTAAAGATTCGCAGTGACAGCTAGTGATCGTGTGCTGCAGTTGACTGGGCTGGCACAGCCGACAAGCAATATTAACTCAAGCGGACATTTACGAGGTACCCACACCGACAGGATCCTACGAACCAGGTCGCACTTTACCAAGTACCTGTGACCTATTGCTGACGGTAAGAGTTGTGTATTGCGGTTGCGGTGGGGGGAGAGGTGTCTGTTTTTGGCTGTGTGCAATTCTTCTTGACGGCGCGATGTTCTTGACAGCAAGGGGTGTGGGTTTTGTTGCTGCAGTGGGGATGGTGATTTTTTCTTGCGGTTTGCTTGTTGGATGGGAGGTGCTTTCTTTTTGCTGCCCCAACCGGCCGTTCTCTCACCTGCTGGTTTGCCGGGGCTTCAGCTGCAGAGCAGTTGGTGCGGCGGGCGGGGTGGTTATTTTGCTGTTGCTGCGCAGGTTGTTTTTGTTGGGCTGTTGCTGCGGTGGGGGGGTGTTTTGTTTGCTTGCTGCGGGAGGTGTTATTTTGGCTGTTTGGGCCCCCACTGGCCGTTCACTCACTTGCTGGTTTGCCGGGGCTTCAGCTGCTGAGCACAACAGCAAACAAGCAGCAACAGCCAAACAAAAACAAAACACACGCTCCCCTATTGCTGACTCAAAAATTCAAAAGCTGTGAAGAAGCACAGTCTCGTAACATGGTCTGCTTGTCACACTCATAAATGAATAAAAAGTATACTTATCTAGAAAGATAATTATGTACGTGTTCGTATTTCGTTGGTGAAGCCAACTCTGATAAGAGGAAGACGAAACTGCCCAGGGCGAAAATTCCGAATGTACATAGCGGGATCCAGCAGTGCCTGGAAAAACTGAGGCTCAAGCATCAGCTCACTGCAGAGAAGCTCATCAATTTGCAGGATGAACGCCTTGCTGGAACGATGTTCGGGTTCTTTGTGCAAGTATACTACAATCTACCTTCTCAGGCGCATTGATGGGACGTCTGTTTGTTATGCCATACCCAGGAAGCAAAAGCCACAGGCGCTCTCCGCAAGCTTTGCCCCTGGAGCTCAGCCAACACTCACTAGTTCACCCCAATTCGCTTGATGCTTGCCAAGGCAAGTCGCGTATACCAAGTGCTGCAACTGCACCCCAGACCCTAAGCCCGAAATCCTGAAACGAACTCGAAAAAACCTGAGCCGGTACCCCGAAGCATCGAGCTGCTATTGAACCACCAAGCAAGGTCTATCTGGGTTAGGGTCAAACAACGCTCATGTCCGGAGCGATCTTGAAACTCCCACAGAATTATCGGTTGGGATTAGGTAGGTCTGCACATTGACCAACTTGAATGGAGGCTTCTTATTATCTTCTTGCTTCACACCCCTGCTAAGCTCCTGAATTAGCCGACAGCCACTGCCACCGGCCCCGTGGTTGGCGAGTGGAAATGCAGTTGTGCAAACCCAAATCCGTAGCCTGAAGCACCAAAGCCAAGATGCCAGAGCGACAGAGTTGACAACTAGATCGTCAATAGTGGAGGTCTCCTTGAGGGGAGTGCTTTCGCGGCTAGGGCTTTTAAAGCACACTGCGTATCGGCTGGTTTGGCGTCACGTGCTGGGGCATTTGGGGCACACCGGATAAGGAGCTTGGGTCTCGGTGTTTAAGGATCTGCAGTCAGGGTTTATGTCGGGATTTAGGTCGAAAGGTTTAGAGTCTAGGTTAAGACTTAACTTGCGCATGCTTTCGCCGCAGATCGCCGGGGGCCAGTCTGACGGCCCTGGCACGGCAAGTAGCGACAGGAGAGCTCGACACCTCCGGAAGGCTAAGCCCCTACACCCCAAACTCAAACCACTCGATCCTAAGCCGCTAAGCCTCCAGCCTAGAACATCACAGGTTAAAGTTCGATGGCACCGGAGCCCAAACACTACACACTGGTCTCAGACAAGGAGCCATGAGGAACGTGATGCCCGCTTGGGCGGTTAGGCTCCAAAGAAGCAGTTTCGGAAGGACCACCAAGAAGATATTGATGAGCCTCAGGCTTTACATGCCATTAGGGTTTAAAACCCGGATGGATTTGGGGCGTTGAGGATATGTTTGGAGATCTAAGGTTTAGACTTGATGACCTCAACCCGAATCTGGGGTCCTGCAGTTTAGGGAATCTGGGCAAGAGCCTTGAAAAAGGTTTTGGGGGTTGGGGTGTAAGTGCGCAGGCTTCGAGGGATGCCTTGGACCACACAAACAGAAACGACAACCAGGAGCCAGTACGATCGTACGCCGAAAGGTCACAGCTTCAGGCGAAGATAGACTCATCGTACTGGTCATGGCTACAATCTTGCGACTCTCGTTAATTCAAAACCCGAGTCCAGAGACATGTTGCTGCTGTCACAGCATCCGTGCATTCATAGAACTAATGTGTTGGCTTTGAGCTGCATGCCCCTTACAAGAGGATGGGTTCGGCTTACCCTGCACGCCGTCACTTTGGTGAATAACGTCGGTTGCGGGCTTCGGTAAACGCAGAGGCTCGGCGCAATACCTGGATTTTCCAGAGGAATCTTACAGCTTTGCCGCCCATCCTCAAACCCAACCGTCAGACCCTACAGCCTTACGGCAAGGCTCTGGGTAATCGAAATAGCAGGACAGGATTTAGGCTCTCCTCCTATGCTTCGGAATCGGGCTTTTCGACGGCATCTCAAACCATGACTGTTGTGAATCACGGCTGTAGAGCCTGAATCCCACATGCTGATCGAGAGGCTTCCAAGAAAGCGGCATTCCAGCCTGGTGGGAAAGGGCCCCAAAGCAGGGATTCCCTCGCTGTGTGCGGTTGAGAAGCGACTTGGGTGTCAATGATTTGGGTGTTTCCAAAAATTAGGGTACCTTATTTTGGGGTCCTTATAATAAGAATCCTGGGGTACTATATTAGGGTCCCCTATTTTCGGAAACCCCCATTTGGATCTTCATGGTCCCGCAAATTGCAAGAACGCTGGAGAATTGTCGTCGGAATTGTGATCTTTCATGCTGGGCGCCGACCTACCCGGAAAGGTTCCCGTACGGATACGGTCGTAGATTGCAACCGAATCATCCAGGCGGGTAGTTCTCTAAAATAGGGTCCCTGGACCCTGTTTAGGTCCCCAATATAGTACGGCACCCTTATAGAAAGGACAAAAGGGACCCTAATTTAGAAAACTACCCAGGCAGAAGCCTGAAACCCCGTCTGAATGCCATCCAGGTGGCGACTTTCAGCTTGCACAGATCCTGGGCTCAGGACTCCTACTTCTGAGCCCAAGGGGTCCTACCTATTCTAAGTCCCAATATAGAAACCCTACAGTCTACTATGGGCCTTTGGGAATTACAAAGAGGGCCCGAAATCCGTAGGGTCAGTTACTTTGGGTTCGTAGGATGTAGATCTTCAGCCTTTCCTTACACAGGCTTGCCGTCAATCCTAACGCCTGAACCCCCAAACCCGAAGCCTCCTTGTAGTCATTGCATCTTCTCTCTGGGGCTGTGCAGGAGAGCACTGCTTCCGTTCGAGAAGCTCAGGTGTCGGGGTGTGCGGCTTGCATTTTGCACAGTTTCTGTTAAGTGGCGTGTTTCTAGCTGTACTACCAGGGCTGGCTGCAGGCTTTGATTTTTTAAAGGCTTAAGGTTAAAGAACTATGGGGTCAGTGATTTAAGCCTGTGGGCTAAGAAGGTCAAGGGTGTCACGAGTGTCGCATGAATAGCAGCCACTAGTCACTAGCAACTCACACCCTTGCACAGCGTAGAAGTTTAGGTTGTTTTCCGCCGAAATGCTCGGCTGCAAATCTCAGAAGCTTCTGCAAGACTCAAAGCCCAATCTCAGAAACGGGCACAACTTGAGAGCTGAAGGAGAGACTGGTCATGAGTCGTACGCTCTCTTCCTGCACCCAAGTGTGACGCGGAACACTGGAAGAACTTCCTATTTCCAAGTCCCCGACAAAGAGACATGCAGCCACACACGTACACGAGCCTGGGTACAAGAATGACTTGAACGGTAAAAAAGCGACATCCTAGAGAAAGATAGAGCCATTTGGGTTTTTTTGCAAAGCGCCATCTCCGACCATCCGCGGATTGATTTGGCATGCTCCTGTCCCAAGCGTTGATTGGGGAGTTTTTTGCTGCATCGAGGGTTTATTACAACAAGGGTCCTGTATACACCCTTTACCCTTTTGCATCCGGGCTTGTGAAGTCGGCCGGGGAAGGTGACAGGCAGCACACCCTTTACCCTAAACCCTAAATCCCTAAACCCTATACTCTTCAGGCTATGTATTGGGGTCCCGTCTCTTCTGAAGCTGCCAACACTTTTTTCCTCGTCGCGTTTCAATGGGTCCTGTTGGGTTCATACAGTGTCATACAGGGTTTTTAACGCCCCAGAGAGGTGAAAGGTTACCCAGTGGGCACCTGAGATGTGGAAGCTATACGAGCCCTGAACCATGAACCGAAACGCCCAGCCAACCAAACCTGATCCCTAAACCGCAATGCGGTACTGTAGTCCCGCGGAGGCCTGCAACAACATGCAACAATTGCTTCGACCCCGGACGTGCCGAAAGTCGTAGCTTCTCTACTGAAGGCTTAATGATGTCAAGGAGGATCATGCAACAGAATCAAGCGAATGAATGTGTAGCTGCTTCATGGAAGGCGAGGTGCAGCGAAAAATCGCCACGACTAGCTTGCATCACGATGCCTGCGGAGGACTCTTATTGACACATTCTCAGTAGCCGGCGGCTTCACCCTTTGCCGCTTTTAGAAAAAGGCACTCAGGGCTCCTTGAGTCGTGTCAAGGAGTGTTTAATGTAGGGGCCTGAATAATTAGAATAGGGTTCTGGGACTTTGTTTATACTACAATCATAGTAAGGAACCCCAAAATAGTATGGGTAGTTATTTAGGCCCTTACATTAAGTACCCCACTCGCTGTCACAGCCCTAACTACCCGAAGAGCAAAACTGGTGGGTAGCTTAGGTCATGTAGGAGGCATCTGCCAGTCAGCTGAACAGCTCCCTAAACCCTAAACGCGCACTTATAGGGCCTCCGAAAGGAACCCGTAAGAGGAACTCTCAAAAGCGAAGCCTTCTCGGCCCAGTCCGGAACTTCGTAATCCAACCAACTTTCGGCCTGTCTTGGATGGGGTGACTTGTGTCAAACAAAAATGGCTCGCTGTTGCTTGAAGGTGAGGGTAGGGTGATAGTAGCATATGGACGACAAATCCCTTGATGTCTGCGTGCGGGCAGGGACTCCGAACCCTCATTCCATCATCTTTACCCTAAGCAGAATCTGTGAAACCCTTACCCTAAACTCCGAATAGCACTCGTGCAAATGCTGCACTCACAGCTGGGCAATGCCGGCTTAGGACGTTTCGGCTTTAGGTGTTTCGACTCTCCAACCCCCAAAACTACAAGACGCCTGCAAGGGCCTGGAAACTCCTGTAAAGCGCGGCTATCATTTTCTGTTATAGTATATAACAGTTATAGCAGTATACTATCCAAACTCAGGATGTGTCATGTCAGGCTTGAGCCGTGTCACAGGGAACTCGCTGAACACCTTTCTGCCCAAATCCCAAGAGGTCCGAAGACTCTACTTAAGACTAAGACATGCGACAAACACCGTTCTACAGACGGCAAGCTGTCTGCTACTACCATAGTTCACCATTTGGCATTGGTCTGTACTGATTCGAGAGCTTCTGGGTGAATAGCTCTTCGCCTGCCTTGTTTGGGATGTCCCACAGCATCCTGCCATGTACTCGCCAAAGGACACAAACCGAAATAGCGTGACCGGGTGCATTGCGGGCAGATTGCGGGCTTGTTGTCTTCATTGAATCAGGCTTGTACCAAATTGTGGCATAGGCCTATTCTTGACAATCACCATGCAGGGCACACGATTGTGCAGCAAGGTCTCTCTGATCTTACAGGCAATGAACACTCAAAATCAATATTTCTGCATTGCTCGTAAGTCAAAGTGTTCAGTCAGACTCACAGACATGCCCTGGCTGTGCCCATGGCTCTATAACTGATTGTAAAATAGAACTGTAGCAGCCTCAAAGCATTATCCATCTTCACCATACAAGTACTATGCGGTACTTAGTTGCTGAGTTCATAAGCCCCAAAAAGTGTACGCTTTCAGATCTATAAGGGCTCATCTTATCCCAAAAAGTGTAAAGTGTACCCACTCAGCTACTAAGGGTAGAACCTGCACCCCCCAACAAACTTTATACGGCATTTTCCCAGCCGAGCCACCGAAGAATGTTGATGCCTGACGACAAGCATGCAGAACAAACGCTGCTTGAGGTTTGCGGTTTAGGGTTTAGGGTTTAGGGTTTAGGGTTTAGGGTTTGGGGTGTCAGGGTACGGTTTGTTTTAGGCACCTGGGGCATTCGCATGTGTTGCGTAAGCAGCGAACATACAGCTCCTCAGCAGCGAGGCGTCTGATCATCAAATATGGTCTTTGCTGGATTCCAGGACTGTTCAAGCAGGTCAAGCGAGTACTCTAAATACCTCGGACAAATGCAAAACTGTAAACTGCAAAGCCAACCGGACCAACATCTTCATGTCTGCGTAGGTTTTCTCACTTTGTCGCTGCAGAGCCACCCGTCTTACACTTGGTTCTTGCTTACGGCAGGAACCGTGCATGGCCCCGGCATTGAACCCCAACCACCCGACGCAGCAATGCACCGACACGCATCACAAACATCAACTCATCCCATAAACCCTTTTTTTTGGTTTGGATCCTTTAACTTCTCCCAAGCCATAAACCCGAGACGAACCCCAAAGCCAGCGCAAAAACTTTGAGCCAATTTCCTTTTTTCCCCCTACAATAGCGCATAAGGCTTCCTAAAAAAAACAACTATTACAACTAATTGCTTGTGGCAAGCTTATCCAGCTGCTACAAAAGCATGTCACACTCCTGTAAGCTTGCAACACCCCAATAGCCTGGACAGAAAATGCAAACCCTGGGCCAAAGGCCCCGGCTTCCCACGAGGTCTCCCAAGAGCGTCGCGGTGAAAAGGGCGCAGCAAAGCCACCGGCACGAGTAGCTCTCGATGCCGTACCTTGCTTTCGGCTTTCGGATGTTGGGGAGATGAGGCTTGCATTCGGCAGCCCTGAAGTTAGAGACAAGCTAAGGGGCAATGAAAGAGGTTCCAGGGTTTCGGCGCTCGAATCCCTAGCCCCGAGGCTGTTTCGGCGCTCGAATCCCTAGCCAGGAGGCTCTGACTATTTACATGACTGTAATGACATTCAGAGAAGGTGGAAGCATAGGGAGTCAGGCGTCCAAAAATCCACGAAGTTTAGCCCAAATCCGAAAGCAGGGTCCCCCACCCCCCCTTCTCCCCCCCACCCAAAAGACAACAGATGCGTTGAAGCCTAGGGGCTCGCCGGGGTCCACGAGCTCTTGAATCTCGGCCGCCTTCTCGGGAAACACTGCTTTGAGTGCATCCCGCACCTTGGAAGTACTGTAGGGCTCTGGGATTCGGGATCCCTTTAGGGGGTTGGGGATCCGGGTGAAGAGTTTACGGACTTAAGCTACTGTTCTTTCGCCTGTAGCAGTAGCAGCAATAGTAATAGTCGTCGTAGCAGTAGCAGCAGCAGCAGCAGTAGTAGCAGTAGTTAGTGGTAGTGGTGATAGCAGTAGCAGTAGTAGTAGTAGTAGTAGTAGTAGTAGTAGTAGTAGTAGCGGTAGTAGCGGTAGTAGTGGTAGTAGTAGTAGTAGTAGTAGTAGCAGTAGTAGTAGTAGTAGTAGTAGTAGTGGTAGTGGTAGTAGTAGCGG